CAGTCACTTCGGTGATCGCACTCCACGTCGGGGGCCGCGCAAGCGGCTGAAGGGGGCCACCATCGCAGATGGTTGAGCTCCTCGGAGAGATAGACGGCGGGTTGGCGTTCTCCACGCCACGCAGTCACTTCGGTGATCGCACTCCACGTCGGGGGCCGCGCAAGCGGCTGGAGGGAGCCACAATCGCAGATGGTTGAGCTCCTCGGAGAGATATACGGCGGGTTGGCGTTCTCCACGCCACGCAGTCACTTCGGTGATCGCACTCCACGTCGGGGGCCGCGCAAGCGGCTGAAGGGGGCCACCATCGCAGATGGTTGAGCTCCTCGGAGAGATAGACGGCGGGTTGGCGTTCTCCACGCCACGCAGTCACTTCGGTGATCGCACTCCACGTCAAGGGGCCGCGCAAGCGGCTGAAGGGAGCCACCATCGCAGATGGTTGAGCTCCTCGGAGAGATATATGGCGGGCTGGCGTTCTCCACGCCACGCAGTCACTTCGGTGTTCGCACTCCACGTCGGGGGCCGCGCAAGCGGTCCTAAAGGGGTTTGTTGCCTTATATGGCAGCATACCCGCGTTGTACGTGCTGCCGCTCCGGCGGTACGCATGTCCCCAGTCTACTTGGTCGCGCCAGCGGTCATGATTGACTCGTAGTTGGCTTCGGTAGGAGGGTCTCTGACCTCGTTGCCGTCGCCCCTGGCTCTACGGAGCCCTTTAGTTGTCGACCCGATACCCGGGCCGTACTTCTTGTCACACTTATCAGTCGTTAGTTATCATAATAATGGACGTACTTGACACCACCATTTGATCCCCAACAATTTTGCTACTGTGTGGTTTGTGGTCGGATGTCGCTCTCGTTGCTGGACAAGGGTCAGTCTGCAACTTGCAGATGCGATAAGTCCAGCTGTCGCACACCTGTGATTGCTGCTGGTTTACTCCCGACGCATAGGGTGTGCGTATACAGTTGTAGCAGCTTTACACCGCAGGCCCGCAGAGGCTTTCTCTTGACCAGAGTGGCTTGCGATCGATAGTGTCTCACGCACTGGTCTTTGATGCTTGATCGAGACGGCACTAGTGCGCTGGAATGTGTGAAGCGTGGGAGCAGACGTGCTCCTACAATTTGCCCGACGGATCGACGGTCCATGACCAGTTCGTTGGTGCGTCGGCGCAAAACTGCCGCCGTCTGTCCCGATACTATATGAGGTCTCCATTCCTACAGGAAGTCTCAAAAACGTCAGATGTTCTGAGACGAGCTGTCATCGTGAGGCATCCTACAGCGCGCGCGTGACACGAGTCGCAACAAGTGGCTTTAAGCCGTGCCTGGCGGTCGTTAGAGCGAGATCCAAGCATTGGACTGCATGTGCCCGAAAATACTGTGCGATGTGATGGATTGCAAAGACGAGCTGCCGTCCTTGATGCACGGTCGCACGAGAACCGCTGCCTCGGCATTTCTCGTCCGAATATTTGAATACACGAGCCGCACAGTAGCAGCCACCGCACAGGTGTTCCGCAGCGGCTTTACTCGCCCGCGATATTTGCCCATCATGCTGATCCGGATGCCTGACACAATTTACTATGATGACGCCAACTGGTCTGGACGCCGTCCGACCGTAATCTGCCGATGGGAAGTCGCTCCTGCAGCCACAGAACAGAATGTCTCTGCTTGGCCGGGCTGCCACTCATTTCAAACGAAATGTCTCTACTTCGTCGGGTGGTCGAATTTCCACTCACTTTGTTTGTTCATTATTCAATCTACTATCCACCGCCAAGAGTCCTTCCCCCTCCCCCTTCACCTCCGACGTCCTGCCATGCGGTTCTCATATCTCCGTGCGGTCCTGATCTGCGGTGCGCTGCTCGACAATGCTGACCACGCTTCAGGCCTCGGCCAAACAAAGACCGTCGCGCTCGGTGCGGGGCACGAAGTCGACGAGCCTAAACATCTACTGAGACGACACGCTGCCGCCGACAATCGAGAGGAGAGGACGTTCCCGCACTTGCCGAGCGAAGGACTGGCAGGTTTTGGTACCCGTGCAGTTTAGCACACGAGCAACACGGCGATAAATGTGGTGGACAAGCTCGGCCATTCAAAGCCTGCCCAAACCCTGAGCCAAACCCTCGAGTTATCTACTCTCCTCCGAAGAATAAATCAAGACGACGACGACGTGCTCAGAAAAATGCTCACACAACTTGAAAAACTACAAGCGTCCGGCGAGTCGCCAGATGTAATGGTTCGGAGCCTGCTTGGGACAGCAAGCGGGTATGATTACAGTTGGGAAAAAGCAGCTTTCTTTCACCTGGCGCGTCAATTGCCGGGGATGGAGGAAACGGTGGTTGCGAGGGCCGAAGACACGTTCTTTCACTTGAACTCAGAAATTGCAAAATATTTCGCCAATTTGTATGAAACGAAGCCAGGGACTTTCTTTGATGCACAAAAATTTTCATTGCGCGCCGAATATATAAAGGCCCACGAGGAAACGTACAACGCGTGGAAGAAGGCCCAAGAATCGAAAATAAAGGCCCACTGACACCTGCCAAGTCATGGGTTGGCTCGCTTCGTCGTCACCTGCATCGAAAGCAATGTTTCTTCTTTCCTTTTTTTTCTTTTTTTATAATAAATTGTGCATTGACCCATATCGCTTTGTTTCCTTGTTCGTATACGACGCTAGTGCCGATCGTGACCAGACCTTTTCAACATTGGCTCACGTGCAGTAGCGTATCGAATCGATCGCCGCAAACTTTATCGGTAGACTATGACACTCTGTTACCTTCTGCGCACTTCACTAGGTGTGCTTATCTTGATGATAGTGGACCCACTGCCGTTGTGCGAGCGGACTAATGTCCGTCCGTGCAGGTCTTACAACGAATGCACCGTGTTGTGCGACCGCTTTGTAAAACAGTGCTATGGAAGTTGATGGTGTAGATAGACGCCTCTATCGAGAACGTTGGACGTCAAAAAAACCGCTTCCTCGCGTGTGATCGCGTAAATTCCCGGACGACCACGTGAGGCACATGGCGGTCGACCACATCAGGACTAGAGATCGAAGCCAACAGAGATGAAGAATGAAAACTAATTCAAAGCCGTAGTAATCAAAGCTTTGGTTTCCACATGCAAAATCCGCTTCAATTCAGGTGAGTTCAATTTGATCTTGAAAACTTGTGATGCAACAGTGGGTTCTGTCCCTAATATGCAATATATGTAATACAATACAGGTACAAGAAGACGTTCTCGTGGTTCAACAAAAGACCATTAGTAAGACGGGTGGCAAAAAACCTGTAGATCATCTTGACGCAAGACGCAAAACGAGTGAATGAATGGATGCAGTTGATCAGAAATTGGGTCGGCGTGATACGGGGCGTTGCTGGAGCCTTGTCACGCATAGGATTGAATAAGCCGCGCGTCTTCCTCACTCCAGATCCGAGTCGTGCAGCAGCTGCAAAACTAACGAGTGTTATATCATCACTTGATGTCAGTCATTAAAGGTAGTCGACACGAACAAGTTTGACTGTAGTGGTGTTACCGAGTCGAGTCCGACGACCAAGAGAGTGGACACACATACAGGAAGCATCCATGAATCGTCTTGGTAGTCCTGACATGGCCATCCCGTGGCCCAGTGATGGTGCAAACCATGTGGAATCAAGTCACTGGAGAAGCTGAAACTGCAATACACGCATGAAGGAGCACGCACAAGAGATTGCACTCGAAAAGGAGGTGATAAGATTGATGGCATAGGTGTTAGTTGCTCGTTTGCATGAACGTTGCGACTGGAGCTAAGCTGGCCTACAAACGATTCTCATTGACTGCTTGGTCCCTCTAGTCGTCGAGACTAACATCGACGCATTTATTGAAGGAGCAAAAGTATCCGTCGTCGCAGCCGTCCTGAAAAGAGCCGGTTTCGAGATTGAAACACTCGCCGTGGTAGCGTGGCCCTCGGCATTTCGTCGTGTCGTTTTCGCAGAACTTGCCGGCCGTACAGATGATACGGCAGTTTCGGGCGTCGATCGGCTTGGTCGAGACTCGACACAGGTCATCAACGCACTTGTACCCGTCGTCGCACCCTTCTTGGAACTTTGTTGCGGTAGCGTTGTAACACTCTGTTGTAGTAGCAGCAGCTCGACAAGCATCGCTGGTGCTATCGCAGTACTCTCTCGATCCGCTGCACCCTTGTGTCAAACAGTCGACGACAGAGTCAGAGCGGACATGGGATATCGTCAAAGTCGTCGTGGCCGTGTTTAACTGGCACAACAACGTCGTCGTGAGAACGATGGACAATAATGGACGGGCAACGAGTTTCATCGTGTCGGTGGGTGAGCGAGAAAGCGCAAATGAAAGCACTAGCGAAGACCAGATTCAAGGACTGCTGACGTCGTGGTGGCGCTTTCTCTCACGGCGAAAGTACAGCTACTTTTGCCGTCCACTAAAAAAGAAAAGGCATCCTGTGAGCAGCTGCAGATCCTGCGCGTCAGCTCTTTTGCGATCTTCTGTCAAAAGATCGTGTTTTGTCGTATGGTTTGCCCTGACACGCGCTCGTGCGTACTTCGGAGCAGCAAGACAGGGATTGCGTCGAGAGGATTGGCCGCGCACGATACATAGCAACGAGTGTCTATAGGCGTACTGGAGACTTCAAGCCACGTGCTCGGTTGCCCCACCTAGTTCAAGTGCGCCTTCGAACTTATCGCTCCTGTCTGAATTGCAATGGCAAGCAAGATCCATGGACCCTGCTGCAACGTAACCGCTCGATGCACTCAAAAAAGCGCTTTCTTACCACACAAAACGATTGACATTCATGCACCTTATGTAAAAAAAAGTGTCATCAGAGATCCGAGCGGATCTATTTATACCAAATCATGTACCACCGGCGACCAGATCCCGTCACTCGTCGGCACCTCTCTCACTACATACCCTTCCATATCGGATCCTCCCGACCGTCGCCCCACCTGCCCCCAAGGACCAATCCATTATTACCCTCTGCCGTCTGCGCATTGCGCACCTCCCCCTTCCTCGTCCATGTACAGCGCGTCGCAGGTCCTCGCGCTGAGCGCGTCCGTCGCGCTGTGCGCCATCGCCGTGCTCTACGCCGACTTGTTCGCGGCGCTCGTCCGGCCCGCCCGCCCGGCCGCGCACCTCAGCGTCGCCGAGCAGCATCAGCTCTTGGCTTCGCTCGTGTTCTATTCGTCGAAATCGTCTCGTTTTACAGCCAATCCGCTCCCTGATCCGTCAGCTCCCCTAACCACAATAACCCACCCGCCTCGCCTTGCCTTTTGCTGCAGCGCCGACCTCGACGTCTCTGTCCCGGCCGTTGCACTCATGCAGCGCGTCCAGCAGACACAGCAGCAGCAGCAAGAGACGCCGCACACGACTGCGTCGCAGGACTTGCCGGTGCGCCATCACGAGCGCATCCACTCGCTCCAGGAGCTCCAAGAGAGTTTTGTCTATTACTTTTCCACGGGCGCAGCTGCCGAGCAAAGTATGAACTCGTCGTCGGCGTTCCACGAGATTGTGGCGCTAGCGACTGCATTGCCCGACGTCCAGCGGAAAGTGGGCGGCAATGCGGCCACTATGGCCGCGCGCGCGTCGGCAGAAGGATGTACTGTGCTCCTGGGCGCGGCCATGGGGACTTACATGAAGCAGTACTTTGACGACACGACGATTCAACTCGTGGGCACCATTGGCGACGAGGCAGAACGCGAGAGGGAGGACGTGCATTTGGTGCTCGAGTACGCGCGTGGCGACGCGTTCCGAGGCCACGTGTCGCCAAGGGCGAATCGCTATTACTTGAACCATGACGTGCACAATGCGCGACTGTCGGTGCTGGAAGACTTTGAGCAAGCACTCGAGACGTTCCAGCCGGACTTGGTCGTCTTTGGCGGCCTGCAGCTCATGGAAGTCGAGCAAGATGCACGTGCACGGGTCATGCGTCTCGAAGCGCTGGCCAAGGTGTTGCAGAACTTGTACGTGGTGCACACGCCTACGCATTATGAGTTTGCTGCTGTGTCGGACTTTGGGCTGTTTTCCGAAACGGTGCGCTTGGTGCTGCCATGGGTGGACTCTATCGGCTTGAACGAACAGGAGCTGTTTATACTGCATCACTTTTTGGTCACGGGGAAAGAAAGGACCGCGACAACGTCTCGACCGACGATTGCTGAGATCAGTGCACAGTTGCATGATATCATTCAGTTTGCAAAGGAGGCGAGAACGACTGTGGAGACAAGCAGACGAGAGAAGGGGGATGGCGAGGAGCACGAGACGGTGGCATTAGCACATTTATCGCGGATTCATTTCCATACGCTGCAGTTTCATATTGTGTGCCAGAAGAAAGAGAGTATTTGGGAAGACCCGACTTCATCGTTGGTGCAGAGCGCGCTTATTAGCTCCAAGGTGGCGTGTGGCAAGCCGCCGGCTCCAGCGAGTAGTGGCGTTTCTGGCGATGACGATGACGAGGACAAGTCTCAGTCGATGCGAACTAGTGCGGAAATCGAAGTGGACCCGGAACGGGTCGAGATGCTGCTGGCTCGCGAGCAGCTATTGAGCAAACGCCAGGATCTCACGGTCGTCTTGGACCCATTTTCGCCGGTCGTCACTTGGCAAGAGGCCGACTTTCAATGCCACTTGGTGCCGATGCTAGCTTGTAAGAAGCCCGACCACACTGCTGGACTAGGAGACAATATCTCTGGCACGGGTGTGGCCTACCACCGCCTTCAGAAGAAGACGAAGACCGGCGTTGACGCTAAGTAGATGGAGCACAAGTCTGCGGCAAGATTGGCACGTACGTTGTTTATTTGTATCGCATGTTCACTATGCGCGTTGTTTGGTCGACTGACTGTCAAGGCATTCACTTCTTCACGGTGCTTTCTAGTTGCTAGCGGCGCGTGAGCTGGAGCCGACCTTGGCCGTCATACGACGATACCACGGCCCAATGCTTGTCTCACGCATCACGTCATTGTATGCGTCCAGACCGTGCATAGCTCGGAGGACACCAAAGACTGAGAGGTCTGCCTTGTTCGGTTCCTCCCCTCCAAGAAAGAGGCGCTTGTCGCCAATAGCGTCCACCCAGCTATTCAGCGCCGAATAGAGCGCTAGCCGCTCGTCGTCGATACCGTATTTTTTCTTCGCCCGCTTGGCAATGACGTACATCACCATGGCCCCGACATACTTGGACAAGTGGCGTTCCATGGGCGTAAACTTCCCTGCTGTCAAGCAATAGTCAAAAGCCTGCAGCGCTTCTGGTACGGTACGGTAAATATTCGGCGGCGTCAAGAGAATGAGCGTGTGGTCGACCCATTGGCACCACTGGTCCTCGTCGTCCTGCGGCTGCTGCTTCTGCATCCCTTTGTCCTCGAGCTCCCCCGAGCTCTTCGTCGACTCGACGAGGTCCCACAGCCGCGAGATAATCGCAGACGAGTCGACAATTACTTCATTGTCAATGCAGACAACTGGTACCTTGGCATAGTCGGTCACCGCTTTGGTCTCTTTCTTCGTCAGTGGATTGACTTCCACCACGTCGTACGGGAGCTTGAGATAGTCCAGTACAGCCTTCACCTTGCAGCAATAGGGACACGGTTCGTACTGATACAGCACCACTTTGGGCACTCTCGCGGTCGGAACGCTATTGCTTCCAGACGCGGACGGACGACAAGTCGAGCAATAGGCAAACGACGCACTCGTGCTCACGGCCGTAGCCGCGACAACTGTCCATTGGTGGAGCAAGAGTGATGTCGACGGAGAGGCGAGGGGCCGACAGCGCGTACTGCTGTTGGCCACGCGCTTGGACGCCGCGGGACGTGCGAGAGGCGACGGCGTCGAGCGGAAGACGCCGGCGACACGGACGACACTACGATGGAGCATGCTGGAGAATGGGTGGTGGGGAGCGCGCGGCTTTTACTGAAGTGGAAGGACTGGGGGGAATGGGGAAATAGAGCCGATGGGGTCTTTAGAGCAACAACCAACAGGCTGTAGTTTAACAATGTGTTGCGAGGACACGGCATGAAAGGTATGTATGTGTGTGTGTGTGTGTGTGTGCAAAAGTCCCTGCGAGCCAATGGTTCATTTGCCATCGTCTGTAGATCGCTGGAACCTGTGGAGCACCGCAGCAGCTCCGTCGGGCAACGTCCCGTGGAATGTTTGGTAACTGCATCATACCTCAACGTTTCCTGCGCCCTGACCCACCGTTTGTCGGTCACCGTGAAGACGACGAAGACGTCTGCCGGTAGAGAAAGCTCGACTTTTTACGCGACCAGCGCATGAAAAAAAAGCAGCTACTCCTGACACACCATGTGCGTACGGCTTTTTCGACACGAGTGGCACTTCCTTGTGCCCTACACGAACAACAGTCATGACGTTCGTTGCGCCTTTGTGTCGAGTCAAAGTTACTAACCGAAGAACGCACTGTACGTAACGCTTTGCGTGGGACTGCTGCAATACGGAACGACGAGCTCGACCTCGCGACCGTTTCGAGATTGTACACGTTTGTTGGCACGCGCGGGAGGGATCAAAGTAGTCGGACGAGCGCAATGCAGGAAGCGAGTTGAACCTGAAAAAACAAGACCGCAGATTGTCGCGCGACTGAGGATGCAGCGCAAACCCCGTCGGACGTGCCATGACGTTCAGGTGGTCGCAACTCCTACTGGCAGCCCACGTGTTTGGAGAGAGGGCGCGTAACGCGTCGTAATCAATTGGTCGCTGCTACTACGGCCAGCGCTGACCAGTCAGTCACTACAGGCCCAACATCGTGCGGGAAACCAGCCGAGCGATCGATTTCATCCGTAGCACAGTGCTGGAAGGTGCTGTACGTTCGGTCGACTCGTTGCATGAGCAATTGTACTACGTCGACTGAAGTGCTGCCAAACAAAGTCGTTCGCGCGCGCGCGCTTGCGACTGCGGTAAGAGTGACACGTTTACGAGCTCTTTTCCGCTCTTGTCCAGCGCGAAAGAACGGATGGATAGCGCCACTTTGTTTCGCGAGCTGCCAGCGCTCGACGGCGTGTGCTGAAAAGGCCGACCAACAGACCCTGTCGAGCCATGCAAACAGTGCTGAGATGCAGCGACTGCACAACGCACGAGCATACCCCTTGTCTCCTTTCTTGCTGTCCCCGTACGCACGCCCTACGAGGCTGGCTCACTGACGCCTCGATCGTCTCACATATCAGTGGTCCCATCGTCGAGATAGGCCGCGCAAGTCCTTGTGGCACCGACGGCCTTCACGTCACTTCCGAATTCCTCTGCGTCCTGCGCACGAAAGCATTGGCACAACAGTGACGACTGACGGACTGACGAACGTAGGGAGGGAGTGGTGTGCGGCCCAAGCTGAGCTTGCATGGACCCTTTCGATGCAGTCGTCAAGCTGGACGTCACGGTCCTCGCTACCCCGCGCCTGCTCGACAAGCCCCACGACGCGCCCAAAGCACTGCCATCGTCGTCGTCGAGCTTGGGCCACCACCCCAGTCGTCGCCTTCCTCCCGAGGTGCGACGCGCTCGCCATCGGGACCGGATGCAGCGCCAGCGCCTGCTGGAGAAAAAGAGCATTGAGCTCAAGCGCCTTGAAGTGCACCGGCTGTCGCGCGAGTTAACACGGGTGACAAACGTGCTGCTCCGCGAGCTATCGGAAGCCACTTGTCAAGCAGACGACCTGTCAAGTCCTGACGGGGACGAAGCCGACCTCAACGACAAGCACAAGCGCTTGCTCGACGCGAGCACAGCGACTCAATGCGTACAGCAACGATATGTCCGACTCGTCATGCAGCAGGGGACCATTGCCGAAGAGAATCGACAATTGACGGCGCGCTTTCACGAGTGGCAGCGCTTTCGGCACCTCCTGGCAGTCGAGCAAGAGCGCGTAGCGCCATTGGACGCACGAAGCGGAGGACCCCATGCATTGGGAACGCCCGCGCGGTTCCGCGCAGCAGGTCACTGGCTCACGTTCGTCCCCGAAGAGCCAGTGCTGTTTTACCAGCCGCTTTCGAAGAACGCGTGCCACGAGCTCGTGTTTACGGGGTACCAGCGCATGCAGGAAGTCGCACGTGGCCCTGGCGCGCGGGACCTCTACAATGAAGCGTTTGGCTGGAAAGTGCGCTTCTCCATGTCCCTTAACAACAACAACAGTGCCCCACAAAGCGACGGGCAGCTTGGCCAAGCCCAGATGCAACACCGCTTTTCCAAGCGCATTCGGGCCATCGATGCCAATGGCGACCGCGTGACCGGCGACACGTTGGCGCAAGCGACGTGGAAAGTCATTCGTACGCCCGAGTTGTATTCGCAAATGTACCGCACGCCGCTGACGTCCAAGATCGTGCAGCGAGTGGACGCGCGCACGAGTGTCATGATGCGGACATCCCCCGATGAAAGTGCTATCATGAGCATGCGCTTTGTGTGTTTAGTGGCGCAAGTGCACGACTGCGCTAGTGACGAGACGGCGGACCCGACTTTGGCAAGTGGGGCTCGACGCCGCCGCGTGACGATCGTGAGCTCGATTTTGGACCCGAACAGAGTGTTTCCGTACATTGACACGAACGTCCCTGACGCTCCCTATGAGTGGATGCGCGACGGCATGAGTTACCTCTCGTTCACGGAGATTGACGACGAAGATATGGTTGAGATTGAGTATGGTGGGTTGATGAACGTGGGCAGCGAGACGGCTTCGTGCACGGGCTTGCCGTTTGCAGCAATGAACATGGGGGAGGCACTCGTGCGCTGGGAACAGTTTGTCACTCCGATGCGGACATTGTTACTCTCTGATAAATAACTTGAAGGTCTTGTGGGCCTTTGACAACGAAAAGCGGCATGCGAGCAGGGTGCTTGCTGTCCATTATCCGCAGGGTGCAGTATGAAGGCAGTTGATACACGTTATGTACCTGACGATCTTCAGAGCGAGTGGTAAAAGCCTTTCACGGACACTCAGCTCGAGGCAAGGGGCAACTATAACATAACTGATACTTTGGATATCTCATGTCCAGCAAAGTTTGTACACAAGTAGTACTGGCTCATGCGACAACAGAGACCGCTGCGGGCATGGTACCATGGCGATACACAATCAGCCAAACTATCTAACGGTGTTTGTCTATCGAATGTGACGATAGGTGTGGAGTATGCACCGATAGCGGCGCATGGCTTCGTGTACTGCAGCTACAACTGTCTTGGGCTTCCACTGTTCATAGCATTTGTCGAGCTATGCCGTTTACTACCTACTGATCGAATGCGCTGCTGTAGCTCGGAATGCCTGCTGAACGTGCGCTTTGCTCGTTGCAATCGAATGCAATATGTCCGACAAACACAAGATGTGCGATAGGTATCGTTCGCTGTACATCATTACACATCTTTGAAAGTTAGCGCTGTCGATGACATCGGAGACCCAGGACTCTCTGTACTCAATGCACGACGGTAAGTAGGATGGCATGTGACGGCGCCGATCGAGGAGATAACGTCAGCGTACTTGAGCAAACAACTGTTTGTGCTACGTGTCACGTTTGCGCTGCTTTTTTGATCTTGAGAGCCCGTTTCGTACAAACACCGCAGTCAATGCGTATGGCTCATCGCTTGTGCTCTGCGATTATCGCATTTTATCACATCGTAGCAATGCAACCGCCGCCAACACTGTTGTGTGTATCGATGGCGTCTCCTGACTACGTACGTAAGGATCCACAAATGCCAATGAAGGCGCAAAGCACATGCGCATTGAGAAGTGGAGTGCTCAATGAGCACTGACAAGTCTGCTGTAAGCGATGTCCAATGTCGATACAGTAAGAAGTATCGTCCTCTGCATGACTTGCAAAGTGGACCCGCACGCGGTAGTAGCGTCCACAGCGGTCAATCTATCACATGTATAGTCATGCGGACAACTAGATGTGATGCTTTCTGGTTTACTAACTTTCTCGGCCGATGCGTCAATGAGCCTATGGAGGAGAATGGCTGCGCGGTGTGGACATGTCGGGCACGAAGAAGAGGGTGCGAATATCGTAAGCACCAAAGTATCCAAAGAGTGATATCACATATGATGCAGTGCGAAGTTGGAGGAGTTTCATGATCATCTATTGACATATTTAATGTGGACAAGAGGTCTGAAAAATCCTGAGCCAGGATATGAGCGCCGGTCGCGGTAGCGGATCGTGGCTGACACCCGCGTAGGGCGGGTGTCCACGGGGCTCTTGAATCAGAAGTTCAAGACAGGCATGAAGTCGGGCCCCTCGTACGGCCGTAGCCGCGGCTCGATGCTCGCGTATTGCAATTGCCCGTAGCTGGCGAACACCGCGTGTCCAGTACATTTGGACACTTGCGGATGGAGTAGTCACGGCTCCTCTAAAGACCGCCGAGTTCCGCTCGGTCCACAAATGTTCTTGGCAGATGGAGCTTAATATGAACCAGATCCGTTCGAATTCTGTTGCTGCGGCGTCAGAGTCATCTTGAAAACGGCTTTGCAACCGCAAACTCAGCTGACGTGGAATGGGCGGGGCTTTGCGATTGGCGCAGTGCTGAAAGAAGGTGGAAAGAACTGCGTTCGTCGCACCCCCACCGGTCCAGTGTCCTATCAAGTGACACCAACACGCTTGCGCGATTGGGCACTCCCAGAAAATGTGCGCCGCTGTCTCTTTGCGTCCTCGGCAGTGCAGCACCGTACGACAACTGTTGTCCAGCGTGCGACCGGCATGGTATAGATTTAGCTGCTTTGTCGCGATACGATAGCATGTCCAAACTTGATACCCCGTTAGCCCGTTTGCGTGTTTCCAAACTTGGGAAGGCGTTTGATTTGATGCAGCTGACTGCCAACTATTCGATACCGCCTGCGCGTCATAGGCCTTCAACCAGGACTGGAGGCCAGGGTGCAGAAGGCGTTTATGAACGTGAAACGCTTGCTTCATAAGCGTTGTCCACACATCTACATTGGCCACCGTCTCTGGCACACTCCAAGGGAAACGGTGAAGCTCCGGGTGGGCATGAAACACCAAGGTACGATGGTACGAATGCTCCCAGTAGTTAGACACTTGCTGAGGCGACCCCCGTAATTCTGGTAAATTCCCGTCAATCGACCAATGGATTCCATTGATATCTTGGCGGAGGCGAATCGCCGAGTTCGCGGACTCGACAGGGTCCCGACAGGACCCGACAATTAAATCAGCTCGCACCCGGGACCATTTATAAGCGCTCCGAAACGGCGGTGGATGACGTAAGACGAGCCCGGGCTCTACCGGTCCCGCACCGACAGCAAGGTGGGGTGACGAGAGCAGGATCGAAGTCGCCCAACGTTGTAATTTACAATGCATATGCCGAGACGAAGTACCGCCGAGAGACGGGAACGTAAATTGAAATTCATGTGACCCCAGTCGCCGAATGCACAGACTGCGCAGTGAACATGGAGGTATCCGGGCATATTTGGCCCGCTCTAGGGGCTTGCCGTCTGGCCCTTGAATCCAAGGATTGCCATCCCAGTGAAAGCGGCCCCAGAAAGCGGCTAATGTTCCATCCGGTGATCAGCAACAGCGGGATGGTCAGGAAACGTTTGATGGTATGAAATTAACCATTCGTCACCGTCCCACTGACTGCTCGCCCCGACAGACATACGAGCGTGATGCGCGTCCAATCTGGCCCGAATCGACAGCACTTGTTCAGGGGAGGGTGCTAGGAGCCGTTCGAGATCCTGCGCCAGAGAGGAACGACCAGGTCCTCGCCTGATGTCAAACGTTGTTGAAGCAGACGGATGGAGCGCCGGGACGAGAGCCGATGTGGAACCTCCCACGCTATATGTCCAGCGCCGCCACGCTGTAAAATATTTGTCATGCGGCTGCGTTAGCCAACGCAACGCGTGCTTCGTCCGCTGAGTTTTGACGGCTACTTCGAACGAGGCCAGACCAACCCCGCCTGCCTTCTGGGGCGTAAAGAGGAGACCCGGGTTAATTTTGTGCCGACGTACGGCAGGCACAGAAGCGTGCGCCCACAGGAATTGGCGGTACAGCCGAGATATCTCCGTTCTCGCCCAGCTCGGCACATCGAAGACGGCCGCTGTGAACAGGATAGCCGGTAAAATGATCGCGTTAAGAATGAGGACACGATTTTGCACACTAGTCGCTACTTTCGCTGCAGTGAGAAGCCGCCGACGGATTTTCTGAAGCCGAAGCGCCCAGTTTCGATCGAATAATGCCCCTGTCCCCACTTCGTACCCCAGGTATCGCGTTGTCTCTCTGTGTTGTAAGACTGAGATGCCACCATACTGGTGTAGCCTGATAGCCGTGTTTAAAAAAATCAATTTGCTCTTGGCAGGCTGGGCATGAAGGCCCGAGAGTTGTCCAAATCTAGAGACTAGCTCCAACGCAGGCGCCAACTGATTGGCATGCTCAAGGAATATGGTGGAGTCGTCCACAAACGCGGAGAATGTATGCACCACCTCGCAGGCCCCGGGCACCGGAATACCCCGGATGGAGGGCGCCTGGTGAATAGCCAGCCCAAGTAATTCCACCACAAGTAGAAATAGAAGCGGTGCGAGAGGACACCCCTGACGTATTCCGGACCGGACAGGAACTGGTTCAGAAAGTTCCCCATTCACCAGAAACCGAGCGGTTGTTCCGGTATGCATCCGGGTGACGAGCGTAATAAACACTTCGTCAAACTGAAAGCTTCGTAATGCCGCGTATAGAAAATCTCGGTCCACAGTGTCGTACGCCTTGCGAAAGTCAAGTAAGAGAATAGATCGGCTTAAGTCGGCTGATAGATCCGCCCTCTCCTCCGCTGAAGCGAGTTGGGCAGTCATCATCATGACCAGTTTTTGCATTTGTCTACCTCGAACAAAACCTTGTTGCGATTCCCCGATGAGTGTAGGTAAGACGCGCTGTAGTCGGGAGGCCAGCACTTTCGCAAAAATTTTGTAGCTGGTTTGGAGCAGAGAGATCGGCCTGTAGTCAAGTGCGTCCGGCGAATCACCCTTTTTCCGAAGAGGGATAATCATCGCTTCTAGAAAGGAAGGTGGCATAGGAGAACCGTGCAATATTTGATTGCACACGTGCACCAGCGCCGGAGCCAGTAAAGCGGACGTATCTTTGTAGAAGTCATTGTTAAGACCGTCCGGCCCTGAAGCTTTGTGACGGCTAAGCTCGGTGATGGCGTGAAGGACTTCAGTCTCAGTGACGTCAACCATCAGCCCATTATTAGCAGCGGGAGAAATCAAGCGATCGTCAGGCACTGACACAAAGTCAAGCAACGCTCTTGGTAAAGCTGCCAAGGGTTCCACCCGATGCACGGCACTAAGAACTGGTGACCATTCCGAAGCGAATTTGTCAGCAATGGATAGGTGTCGCCTAAAGGGCGGACCATGAATGCGAACGATATTCGTAACTGTTTGTACGCGCTCCCAATCTGCGACTCGCTTAAACGACCATCGGAGGCGCGCAGTGGTCCGTTCGAGGCTCTGCCCTAATCGAACGAGATGCTCGAGGCGGTGATCTTCCATATTAGCGCTGATCCACTGAGGACGGGTCAAGAGCTGGCGCCGGTCGCGTCGGCTTACCCTCTTCTTAAAACGGGCACGTCTTTGACGCTCGCGCTTGCGGACGGTTGTGATGCACTGTTTGCATGCTTCCACAGCTGAATCCCATTGCCTGACCGTCGTAGTTGGGGATACCGCCCACCCATCCATTTCCGCTATGAGATCGGAGCGCACGCGTTCGGGTTGGTGTGTCTGAATGGGGTATGATACCGGACGTCGGTAGAGGGAGGAGGTAGTACGCTGCCGCACGCGTAAGTGTAACTCCACTTCTTGAT